CATTTTTGGGTTATTTATTTAAATAATAGTATATAATATGAATATATTAGTATTATTATTAATTTAAATAAATATAAGTGAAATAAGGGCAAATTGGACAATTGAGAGGAGTTAGTGAGAATAATATGGGAAAAGCCCAAATTATAGGCCCACGTTTAACAAAAAGGAAATTGTGATGGGATTAGGGTTCATTTGTTAGACCGTGAAGAGAATTGAGGCCAGAGTTCTGAGGAGGGAGAATTGAAGGCAAAAGCTTCGAAAGGTTCCCTGAAAGATTTGAGAAGACTTTGATCGACAATTAAGATATGAGGAGTATTAACTTTATGATTTTCCATGTGCAAAATTCAATGTATTTAAGGTCGATTTAAGGTTTAAGAGTTTTGAGGATGTATATGAGAAAAAGTGATCTTTGGCCTCTGTGGCCTAAATCTATTATTGGTGAATCTAACCGTGGAATTAATTGGGAAAAAGGAGAGTTAGACCTTCGTGGCCAAAACTCTGATTTGTTATTTGTCTAACCCTGAAGGGATAGGAATATTAGATATTGAGGAATTCTAATGAATATGGATAATCGTAGGAAAATTTGTGATTTAGGGCGTGAATATGATACGAGATTGAACCTATATCCCTTAATTTTAAAGGTTTTAGGCATAATTTTAAAACAATGATTAAATGGTTTAATTGTGTTAAAATTGTAAGTTTACTTAAGATGATTATAGTGTTGAATGGATTGTAATTTTCTGAGAGTTTGGGTTTTTACGAAATCGAAATCGGAGGTCCGGAAGGCCTCCAACGGTGAAAAACGCAGAAAGTTGCGTGTTGTCCGTCACGACTGTTCATGTTTTCGGTCGAAATCATTTTGGACGTAACTTTTGATCCGTAAGTCCGTTTTGACCCCGTTTGAAGCGTTGGAAAGCTAATGAACAAGGCTATAACATAGTAAAGGGAATTGGTTTCCCAATATTTATATATCTAATTATGTTTGAGAAGTCAATTGTGTATATGTTTTATTAATGAATCATGTTCTGATTCAGTGATGTCTTGATGTTTTGATGCTGCGATTTTCCTGATGAATTACCATAAGGGTAATTATGATTTCTATATGATTAAGTGAATGTATGATGTCATGATATATGATGATGACGTAATGATGATGAGCTATGATGATATTTCCATGAGTTTTGATGATTCTATGATGATATGATGATGAGTTTGGTGATGATTATTTTGATGAATGATGATGCACCTATGATGTTATTATGAGGATGATTATTGACGTGTACATCATGCAGTCATGTGCATCCGAATTTTGGTTCATGATCTCGATTACTTTAGCTTCAATCCCATTGTGCGGATGTGAAATGTTTTGATGTGGATTTATGGAGGGTTGATGTCCCAGTGTCCATCGCGCTGTGATGATTGGTACCACATGCATTGAGTGTTATTGCATTTGCATCTATGAGTGATTTGGAATATTTATGACATTGTGGCCTTTGAGGCTTATTGATGAATATGGTGATGTGGAATATGACTATGATGCCATTTTATATGTTGATTTTCATACATTGATTATTATGAATCTTTTTACTCACCCTGCCTGTTTGAATGTTACCTCCATGTGGGTAACGTGCAGATGATCAGATTTAACCGTGGACACCATCGATGATATTTTTGAAGTTTTGAGTTGTTAGCCTTTTTGGTTAACTTAGAGGGTCTTGCTCTGATATGTAACATCAGGTTGGGGTCCTTTGAGTTAAACTATGTTTTATTGAGTTTATTTTGATTATCTTCCCGTATGAGAAAAACCTTGATTTATGCCTTTTGAGTTCCGCTGCTTTGAGCAATTTTTGATATCTTTTGGGAAAATCCGTTGTACACGGAGCATTGACTTATTTTGAGTTATTGAGAAATGTACGCCCTTTGAGGTGATTTTTATTGAGTTAAATATTTTACTCTGATATATGTGAAAAATGTGTCTTTTAATTGTGGGGTAGAAAAGGGTGTTACAAAGACCTTCGAAGGTCATCGTTCTCATCTCGTTAACCCTCCAACTCGTAAGCAACACAAGAAATATTCAAATAAGAATGGGTGAGGTCACATGGAAGATACATGGTAAAGCTCACCTCATCTTCTCCTATGTCGTATCTTCTATAGGTAACGTGTCAAGCCACATTTTAAGTCAGTATCATAGAATTCTCCTAGTCAATAATCAAAGTATCTTAAGCCTCACGGTTTAACTGCACCTCATATATTAGAGGGAAGACTCATTTCACAAGTGAGTCAAGGATAGAGTTCCGCTGTTTTGAGCAATTTTTGATATCTTTTGGAAAAACCCGTTGTACACGGAGCATTGACTTATTTTGAGTTATTGAGAAATGTACACCCTTTGAGGTGATTTTTATTGAGTTAAATATTTTACTCTGATATATGTGAAAAATGTGTCTTTTAATTGTGGGGTAGAAAAGGGTGTTACAAAGACCTTCGAAGGTCATCGTTCTCATCTCGTTAACCCTCCAACTCTTAAGCAACACAAGAAATATTCAAATAAGAATGGGTGAGGTCACATGGAAGATACATGGTAAAGCTCACCTCATCTTCTCCTATGTCGTAACTTCTATAGGTAACGTGTCAAGCCACGTTTTAAGTCAGTATCATAGAATTCTCCTAGTCAATAATCAAAGTATCTTAAGCCTCACGGTTTAATTGCACCTCATATATTAGAGGGAAGACTCATTTTACAAGTGAGTCAAGGATAGAGTTCCGCTGCTTTGAGCAATTTTTGATATCTTTTGGGAAAAACCATTGTACACGGAGCATTGACTTATTTTGAGTTATTGAGAAATTTACGCCCTTTAAGGTGATTTTTATTGAGTTAAATATTTTACTCTGATATATGTGAAAAATGTGTCTTTTAATTGTGGGGTAGAAAAGGGTGTTACAAAGACCTTTGAAGGTCATCGTTCTCATCTCGTTAACCCTCCAACTCGTAAGCAACACAAGAAATATTCAAATAAGAATGGGTGAGGTCACATAGAAGATACATGGTAAAGCTCACCTCATCTTCTCCTATGTCGTATCTTCTATAGGTAACATGTCAAACCACGTTTTAAGTCAGTATCATAGAATTCTCCTAGTCAATAATCAAAGTATCTTAAGCCTCACGGTTTAACTGCACCTCATATATTAGAGGGAAGACTCATTTCACAAGTGAGTCAAGGATAGGGACATGTGACCAAATTTATAGGCATTATAGTCGGTCTCTCCAAGAGACAACCGTGTCTATGAATACCTACTTAAACAATTAAGTCAAATTCATTCACTTTTTATCCATTAGAACTTAAAAGACTCTCTCATGTTTTATATTGTAGACAAAATAACATTTATTATATTGAGAGCAAGTAAGGTAAAAATGATGTTTATTTGTCTTTTTTAAATTGATAAATTATGCTTTCTATCACTATACAAATTTAATTCATTCTAGTTTCTTAAAACTATATAAACTTTGTCAATTATATAAATTAAAAAGTAAAATTAAAATGTATATAAATCTAAATTTTTTTGGTACAATATAAACCTAAATAATTATTCTAAAGTTTTAGATGATTTCATATTAGAAGTGAGAAAATGGATTGAATTCATAGGACCGATTCATTTAACCTGCCGTTTTTTGAAGGTCGGATTGAGGTTTTCAACTTGATGTTTTAAGTTATTCCGACCTGTTAAACTCGCTTTAAAAACAAGGTGGAGGCAGGCCGAGGCCGATTTTTCTCACGGGTTTTTTGTTAAAACTTTTTCATTTGAGTTAAAATTGAACAATGTATCGAGTAGACCGATCCACTAATTTTTTGTCTTTATTGATAAAAAATAGAATTTGAATACTTACTTCTAACGTTATCATGAATTAAAAATTTTGTTTTCATGTTATTTCCCGTGGATGCAAGTTGCAATCATAAAGCTTAATAAGTTATGAGATAGAAATTTAAAAAAAAAAATGAAGAAATGAAATATTAAACTTTTCTTATTCTTATTGTTAAGTAAAATATTACAACTTTTTATATGTTTTATAATATAATGACTCTTTAAAATGTGTATTATTATTTGGAAGGTAGTGAGGTAAGAAATAAAAAATCAACTAAATATAAAAGTTTGGACACAAAGTAGTAAATGAAATTGTAAATAAATAAATTATTTGAAAAATTGGAAATAAATTAGTAAATTAAATTAAAAAAAGAAAAATTTGAGAGATCAACTCGCCAACTCATCAGCAAGTTAATAAATGAAGTGAACTTTTGACTTTTAAATTTAGACATTTTATTTGATCTTTTTCATTTCTGAACATACTTAAATAAAATGAATCTAATAATGGTGAATAATCCTAAAATTTACATTTATACAAGTATATTTCTTCTTAAATTCAAATATTTTACCGTTTAATAAAATGAGAATAAAGATTTAAAAGTGAATATTTAAAAAAACATCAAGAATCCTTTTTTTTTAACCTAAAAGTAGAAGAAAAAGACAACATAAAATAAGAAATAAAAGATTTACCATCAATATAAAATAATTTATACTGATATTCAATAAATAATAGGTATCACATTAAAAATTACAAAAACATTTTAAAATTATCGAAATTATATATTAAATTGATGGTATTTTATCCGTTTTGTAGATGTCCATTAAAGTTATAATTAAATAAATATGATAATAAATAAATTTTAATTATATATAAAAAAAAATCTAATATATGAGTCCATCATATTAGTTGGATTTTTAAAAGTATATAGGTAAATTTAATTAATTCTAATTACTATACAGTTACATCTCAGAATTCATAAATTAAAAAGACCCATCACTCTCTCTACACACGTTTGCAGTGAAAGTAACGGTTCTGCCGTCCGTCGTCTTCCGACGAACTGACCGTCCATCCGCCACCAGATCTGGTCATGCCACTGGAAATTGTACGGTTTCTGGTGTTGTAGGCGCAACTCGAATCCTAAATGGCTTATTATTCATTTGATGAGAGAAAAGTATGGGGATGGTTTTTGGTATCAATTGGATCAATTTTGTCTGTTGCTTACTTCTTTCTTGCTCTCTTCTCCAAGCTTCTTCCTCCTTCTCACATTCCACTCATCTCTTCCTTCCAAAATGACTGGTCAGATTTCTTTTCTTTCTTTCCAAATTCCATTATACAAAATTCCATTGTACAAATTCAACCTGTTGTATTGTTGCATTTTATTAGGTAATAGTTTATGATAAACAAGTGTTTGTTGTCAAATTCATATGCATGTTTTAAATTGCTGTAGTTGTGATTGCGGTCAAAATCACAATGCAGTTGCGGTCTAACGTATCAAGAATATTACTGCCACAATTGTGGTTGCGACCTGTAAATTTAAAACCATGTTCATGGTTTTTTGATACGCTATGAAGTACAAATTGTCATCAAATGGATTCACTGTAGCACCGCAGTGTAACATTTTGACAAACCGCCATTTTTTCGTGATCTGCTATGGACAGAGTTGTGTTCAAATGAAAAAAAGTGGAAATACTTTCTTTGGGGAAGTCAATCAGTCAAGTGGTGTGTTCTGAACCTTGGCTGGATAAGTTAGAGTTAGCTTCTTGCTTCTCCAATCACTGCTCCAAAAGGAATTTTGATGTCTTGAAGAATAGGCTCGTATATGTCATTGCAAAAGAAACTCCTCCTTATTAGTCACCAACATCATCATTTGGAGTGCTCGCATAGTTACCTTTCATTGTTAGGGGTACAATTTGCCAAGTGCTGGTGCAATGTTGTCAAATAGTGGCTATATCAGTGTAATAGCGAGCAGAATTTGAGCTGATTGTTATTGTTCTGTGGTACACAAATATAAGGTTACATATATATCCTAGTCCTAGATGAGGCCGTGATCGCATCAGCAAGTTAGCAGAGTTCTGGTTCCAAAATCTGAGCTCATCTTAATCTTGTGGCTGCAGAGCGGATATCATATCTCTATTCCTAGGCCCAACCTTGAAATGGCCAAGGCTTGATAATCGGGTAAAACTCGGAAGCCGGCCTGTGCTTAGTCTAACATCTGGCAGGCATCGCAGCTCTTTAGTACAGTGCTTTCAAATGATGGCCATAGTGGCACTGTAGCAGTGGTACAATGTTTAGTACAGTGTTGTCAAATGACGGCTGTGGCAGCGCTGTAGCATAGCAGAATTTGAAGAAACCTTTATTTTCTGCAATCTGCGATTGACATCATTTTTTTCTGCATGGCCTGCTGCCACCACTCTACCCTTTATGGACTCTGGGGAAGTGAAGGTTAAACTTTATGCAAGTGATGAATAATATAACAGTTATAATCATTTCAGAAACTATACTTTAGTACTGTTATTCTTATTTCTTTTGTTGCTACCTCTCCCATAAAAAGTGGGAACCCTCCTAATTTTTCTGACTTGTATTTATTTCACAGGTACTACTGCTTCTTAGTGCCATTGACTCTCCCTATAATTATGGTTGCTGTGTACTTCCATTGGCTCAGCATGAAGATGTTCAAACATGCTTAAATTATCTTCATCACGTTTTGAAAGAACTTACATGTATTATGTGAAAGAGCAAACGTCGTGGCTATTGCGGTTTTTTACGTTAAACCTGCAGGATCAGCATTCTTCTAATCAACTTAAGGATATAACTTTGTGCCAACAGTCACATCATGCTTTAATCTATGTATGTTTTTCCTTGGAATTTTTCATGTGAGCTATACAATCAGTTCTCATGCCATGTACTATTTCTACTGAAAGTAGTTCGTAGTTATGTATATGAACTTTAGTCCTTTTAGAATAAAGACATGTTTGGATGATTTGATTAAACGCATATTCAATAAGTTCTCCTAGGAGTTTATTTTTAAGTTAAACAAGTCTTGCTTATAAAATTAAGCAAATTTGATCGATTCATCAAATTTACCCATCTAATAAGATCCTTAATCTTTGGTTATGTTTAAATGTTTAAAGCAATATTATACGATAGGAATTTAATGTTTCAAAATTATAAAAACATCTCTGAATATGTTTTCTATTTGTAATGAAGATTAAATTGATTAAAGAAAGGCGATTCTATAACCTAATTAACTAACTAAATATACATTTGAGAATTAAACATATAAAGCAAAGACACATTGGTGAATTAGTTTGAAGTTATAGTGATGACACCACAAAAAGTTGTTGGAAATCCAGGGAATTTTTATGATAAGAAAATGACATATTTGACAAAATGGAAAAATATGACTTAAGGAAAATATTTTAAAAAATAAATAATTTTGTTTTTATTTTTATTGCTATATCCTGAGAATAAATTTGACGTTTTTTAATAAATTCATTTTGTAAAAATGATAATAAGTGATTCAATTTGCTTAAAAACGATATATTATATTAATCATTTGCTTAAGAACATATTAAGAGATACTATATTAAATCATAATGCATCTTAATATAAACCAGGTATCACAATCCTAGATTTCAAGTTCTTAAGATTAGAATTTGAGACCTGATAAAACATGTGTCATCTCATTCCTTTAGTTAATTATTTATTTATTAATACTAACATTTAACTCAAATATTAAAATTAGATTTCATTATTTATATTAAGAGTTAAAAGTAATCTATAATTCAGTTAGCTGCAATTCATTAGGTTATGTACATTGCAATATCCAATTACAACAATGTTTAGGCAACATTCAACATTACAAGGTTCATATAGTTTTATTTTGTTTTTCTAGCCATTTATTTACATGCTCTTCATCACCATATACTTAATGACTTAAATATACACTGCAAATTATAAATAATAATAATTATAATCAAGTTTAGCCTGAAATGTAAAATTAAAAGTCAAGTAGCCACTTGGAAGTAATAATTTCCCAACTTCAAATTGAAATCTTCAACATTTATAGTGGAAATGCCATCTTGAGGAAACGCAGAATGTATAACTTGATTGTTGATTAAAAAGTAAATTATATGGAATATTCCAAATGAAAACAAAAATTATAAAATTCAAAAAGAATATGAACCTTCTGAACTCGGTTTTTTCTTATTTTGCTTCTTTCTGTTCCTCCAACCAAAAAGGATACCCTACCTCTTACTCTCTACCTGTGATATTTTCCTACACTTTTGGTACATTTCTTTGCACTCTGAACATTCATATGATATGTTCTATATATAATATGAAAGATAGCATATAGCTTCTTCTATTGCTTATTGCTAGGAGCATCTCTTCTAACCCATTGTTGGGCTGGTTTTCTTGGATGTCTTGCAGTCGAACTAGAATGATGATGATCACCTCTTGGTCTTGCAGTCGAACTAGAGTGATTCTGATCATCTCTCGGCCTTACAGTTGAACTAGAGTGATGATGATCACCTCTTGGTCTTGCAGTCGAACTAGAGTGATTCTGATCATCTCTTGGTCTTACAGTTGAACTAGAGTGATGATGATCACCTCTTGGTCTTGCAGTCGAACTAGAATGATTCTGATCATCTCTTGGTCTTGCAGTTGAACTAGAGTGATGATGATCACCTCTTGGTCTATGTCTCCTTGCACCAAAATTCCTGTTCCCACTAGAACTAGGTCCATTTGAGGTCCCACGAATATGTTTTCCAGACCCAACTGCAGGTAGATCACTTTCATGTTGTTGTTCAGTCTCATTAGGTTCCTTGGTTGACGTGGAGTCGGGCACTGCAACTGGTTGTTGAAGATACATACCAGGCAATATCACAATATCTTTTTTGGGTTCAATCAAACCGTTGTTCTCCTTCTGTAAACTTAAGATGGCATCAAACCTCTGTTTTCGGATTATCTCATCCTCAGATTGAAGGATGTCTTCTTCATTATCGACTTCATTATTCAAACTCTGAATTCCAACAGAAAATTGGGATCAAATTCAATAGTAAAATATAAGACACTAATTTTCAAAAACACCGTTGTTTGCCTTAATATCAAGTTTGAAGGAGTGAATAGGTTCTAGCTTATTCAATTTGGTTTCTTTTGAAGAGTGCATCGAACACTAAAAGGAAATGGAGATTGTAAATGAAATGACAGTTGCCAGAAAAATAACAGGTTTCCTTCTCTTAAGTCTCCCTACTCAGAAATCAGAATTGAGGAATATCGACAGAATAAAGTTGAGACAATCATATGTTAATACACAGTTTCCAAATCATCTTTCTGAATTATCGAAAATCATCAGGTTCTCTTCAATTAGGGGAAAAAACACATCTAGTGTACACAGCAACAAGAGGAACTCTATCAGACTTCAAGTATGATCTAAGAGGCAAATTCAACCAGGTTACAAATATGCCTGACATCTGTCTGTGCTCTCTAGGCCAAGGTAACCAAACAGATAAACACCAATAATGAAATTTTTATTTACATTTCATGGTAAATAGATTACCTCTCTGGAAGAATGTGAGCCAACTAGGTCAAGTACATGGTCCAAATCTTTGGCATGAAAAGGTTTGCGACAGACAGGGCAGTTTCCAGCACCCTCTTCCAATTTTTCGTTATTATCTAATAATAATAATAATAATAATAATAATAATAATAATAATAACACACGGTAATTCCTCATGAGAAAAATATTATACTGTGTATTTGCATGGTATTTACTAAGGTTGCAATTAAGTATGGTATCTACGTGTGTATTTGCATGGTATTTATTTACTATGGTTGCAATAAAGCATGACAAAAGATAAACACCTAACAGTGTCAAATTTTGGGAATACGAAATGGAGTAAATCTAAAAAGTAACCCCAAAGTAGTAACGTTGAGCCATTTGTACCTAAGTAAAAGATTTCCAATAAAATATCAAAAAATGATTGACCAAAAACTGTCAACATAATTGCAACCTAAAGCCGTTCATACCAAATTATGAAGGAACAACACGTCAAGCCTTATTTTATATTATCAGTTATTGTATGTGGGAAGATGGATCAAGCTCATATGCAACATCAAAGTTACTAAGAGTGTGGTCCGGGAATGAGTATTTTTAGTTTGTACTTCATACTACTGCTAGCACTCAGGTACTTATCTTACATTATTATTATACGACTTTCTAATGTGAACCCAGATGATAGTACACAAAAGAATAGATTTCGTACAATATGGTTCATGTGTTATTGAGAAAACCCGGTAACTATGAGCAACATTATGAAACAGCCGGATGGAGTAATTAAACAAAAATTAGGACAAGAGACCCACATTTAAGAGAACCTAACATGGAGGTAATCTACTTATGCCGAAGTAATTTGGAGAGGTACTTAACTAAGCAAATAGACTCACACATGACCTTCATTGACCTAGTATGTTAGGATGCCATGAAAAGTCTCGAGTAAGACTAAAGAAAAAAGGAAGAGTTTGAGGTGGTATGCTTATATTCAAGTTATAGGCCAAAGTAGTGACGAGTTAACATATGGTGAGTGAGAAAATTGCCTGTAACTATAACTATAAGAGTACACTAAGGATTGACATTGCATCCTTATATTTTTTATCTTGGTATTGATGTAATTACTAGACATATCCAAGAGTTGTGTCCCATTGAATGATTGTTGAAAATAATATAGCCTTGGTGGAAAAGTTGAGAGGCAGAATAAAAAATGTAGACTTGCTTAGAAAAGTTGTGATGACATGGTTTCAATTAAGTAGAAGTAAAACGGAGCATTTGGAATGTAATTTCATCAAGCTGTGAGAATCATACTGCAACAAAAAGTGACAAGAGATTGTCTCAGACGTAAGTAATTGAACTCAACTTGCATGGGTGAAATGAAGATATCTTTCAAGAGTTGTCTATAATTGGAAAGTGTATCTTAGGCTCAAGTACACTTCAAACAAACAATCATAATTTATATTGAGAAACAAACAAACAATGCTATTTGGTGTAATCTGTCAACTACAATTCTCTCACATAGCAACAATTTCTATAGATATTGAGAAACAACCACAAGTTGTTGCAATGGGTTCCTATCTGTTCACCAAGATCTTGAACGAAAATTATTTTATATTGGTCTTACATTTCAACCAATTCACAAAACTCAGACTGAATTTGGAAAATTAGAAATTTGTTTATGAGCCAACCATGTCTTAAGAGGATTTACAGTTACGGAATTTTAGATTATTAGTCCTTCAAGCTTCTATACTTCACTGTAAAAAGGAATGATTTCACATTGAAAACTACATGTATACTTGTCGATTGTCAAATGTAACTTAAGATTATACATACCCCGGGTACGATGAGCTGTTGCATTATCTGAATTGGAAAACCCTGTTTGTTTAGAACTCTCAAGCCAATTCCACCATCTAATGATACATTCACTGCCAATTATACAGAAATTGGAATGGAAAATTAGATATTGAAAATGTAATGTTAAACCAAGAAAAATTTAACTACACAAAGCTTGTAAAAAAATCTAACATATTGAACATAGAACCGAAGGGTAAAATTAATAGGTGCCCTACCTGTGAAAACAGTGAAAGCAAGACATTAACTTCATAAAAGGCAAGGTTTCACTTTGGTGATCTTCTGTGACCAAGGGGAATAAACACAATGGACAATCACCGTCAGGATGATTCATATCTGAAAGTTTCTCTACAGCTTCCTTCAAATACATTACAAAAATCAATTATCAATTATTATTGCACAAAAAACAATATTTGACAGGCTATATTTATTTTTAGGTTCTACATTTCCATCCAATCCAAAGTTTTAGTCAAAACTATAAAGCAAAGATTACGTAACACAACAGAAACATAAAAGCAGGAAGAAGCACAAAATGGCCGACCATAAATGAATGAGTCTGCAGTTCCACAAGATTAAGCAGTTTTCAATGGTTGATATTCTTCATTTAAGTTTTTTCTAAATTCCTCAAGTAACTGTAAATTTGAATCATTGGCCCTTTTACCTAGTAATTTGGGAAGCACATTAACTCACGTTAAAAAATAGTTAGAAGAAAACACTACTATAGAGTTTACAAACTATTTGGATAAACAACTTAAGCTCATAGCATAAACTCTTATCTATAACAAAAAATAAAAAAGTTAAATTGTTTTCATATAAGCTAGAAGTTGTTTTATAAACTGTCCTGCAGTGCTTAAGGAAACAAGCTGAAAATAACTTATGGACAAGACATAAGTTGTTTCCATAAACTCTTCGAAAGAGTCTCACAACAAGTGTTTATATCCGTAAATAAAATCAAATACAAAACAGCTTACGAAGAAGTCATAAGTTGTTTCCATAAACTCTTCGAAACAGTCTCACAAGTGCTTATATTCGTAAGTAAACTCAAATACAAAACAGCTCATGGACAAGTCATAAGTTGTTTCCATAAACTCTTCGAAACGGTCTCACAACAAGTGCTTATATCCGGAAATAAACTCAAATAGAAAACAGCTCATAGACAATTTATAAGTTGTTTCCATAAACTATTTGAAACAGTCTCATAAGTGCTTATATCCGTAAACTCAAATACAAAACAGCTCATGGACAACTCATAAGTGGTTTCTATAAACTCTTCAAAACAATCTCACAAGTGCTTATATCCGTAACTAAACTCAAATGCGTCAATCCAAACAGACTCTAATCCTAAGCATAGATTATAAGATTATCTACAAACAGGAACATAGAGATATGAAGTAAAATTATGAGTAACACTGTTTTATCAAAAAAAATGCACCTCCATCGTAAATAAAGCAATAAGTTGATTGATTACCTCACAAAGTGCTACAAGCATTAATCCAGGGGAAAGCTCATTGGCTTTAGTTTGTATATGGTTCAATAAATGCTTTTGTCTTTGTTGATCCAAACCCTTACAATCCACAAGAGCAACAGAAGGTGGTTCTTTTGGATACTAATACATACAAAAAAAAAAAAAATACATAAGCTTCTGTTGTTGCTACTGATTTATAAAGAAAATTGAATTCAACAATCATAGTCTAGTGAAACATACCTGTGGAGTTGCATGTACCTCAAGAACAATTTCTACAAACTGCAAAGAAGTTCAATTTGAATTATTGAAAGTTTAAAAATTGAAATGATGAGTTGAAGAAAAAGGGAAACCTGACCTGGTGAGAGGAAACATCAGCGGTTCTGGGTTTGAGGGACAAATGGAAGTGAGGAGGAACGGAATGGAGAATGATACAATCGTTTTCATAAACAGATTTCATGGCTTCAACTTCTTCAGCTATTTCTTCATCTTCTTCACCGTCCATTGTTAGCGGAGACGGTGGAAAATAAGGTTGCGACGACGAAGTGAATCGGAATTAGCTTTGCGTTTATATATATCTAATCGGAGTCTTTGCAAATTAATTTTGTTTGAGTTAGTTTTAATTTTAGGGTGTATTGGGTTCGGATTTTGAAAAAAAAAAGAAAAAGAAAAAGAAAATTAGAACAATTTATGGTAAATAAAATTTGTAGTATTCCAAAACTTTTTAGGATCACAATCTTCTTCTTGTTTTATGAAAAAAAAAAAATAGTTGATATTCAATTGAAATTTTTGGTATTCTACTTTATATGTTTTAAATCATTAATAGTTGGATTATAAAATCAATTATTTTGGTCTCTTAATTTGTATGGTGTTTGAATTTTTGTGATCTCCTTTCAATTTTACTTATGTGTCATCTTTATTAATAAAGTTTTCTGTCGGGTTTAAGTCCATGTCATTATAATTTTTTAAAATCCAAATGAATATTTTAATTAAGAAAATATTAAATATACTTTTTACTTAAGTAAGACAATTAAAAAAATAGAAAATCAATATGTTCTTAACCTTTTTTAGCATTTTTTTCACTCTTTTAAGTCTCTTTCAAAACTTCATCTTGTTCTTCAAACCTTCAAATCGTGAAGAACTCATTATCATATCCATCTATTGAAGATGTCGCCGCAGTCTATTTTTAGCCATGGAAGCAGATCTTCAAATCGTTCGAGGTATGTATGCAAGTGTGGTCTACATGCTTCATTGATGGGGGCATGGGCGAATGCGAACTCAAGTCATTGTTTCTATGGATGTGGGATGCATAAGCTATGTATGACTTATTGCGAATTAATCTGCTGGATATGGTTTGCCATTTATTCATCTTCATTGATGTTTACATATTTAAAGTTACAAGAAATGCAATCACTTTGTTTGGTTGGATGAGAAGATGAATCATATGGCAAAAGAGTTAATTTATGCATTATTAAAGAACTTGAATTAAGAGAATGAAATGGTTAATGTTAGGGTTGGTTGAAAATATACTTGTTGGAGAAGTCACACATCGCTTAGTTTTGTGAGTGAAGATGAAGTCCAAGGTTATTTATAGGATGCAAGTTTTTTGAAGTCCCGCATCGCTTAGTTTTGTGAAGGAAGAAGGAGTCCAAGGCTATATATAGGATTCAAGTTCTTCATTCCAAGATGCACCAGTCAAAAACACTTTAAACTTGTATTTGATTTTCTTTGTTCTCTTATACTTTTGTTTTAGAGTGGTGTAAGATGTAGTTAAATATTAGTTTTGGAGGGTGTGGGTGTACTGGAGGCCTGGGTTTATGAGGGTATATTATGTGTTGTAACAATTTTTACATAGTGTAATTCTCTGGTTGTCTATTGACAACGGTCGTGATTTTTTCTCCAGTTTTGCAGACATTAATGTTTTGTGCTTGTTTTTTTTTTCAACAACTGTTATCAGAGCTTTTGGTTCGATCCATGAATAAGTGTTCTTAGTATGCTCTGTGGTTGCAGTTTTGTCTGATCTTCCACATCAGAAAAGAAGCATAGTGTTGTGAAAGAGTTGTTGAGCTGCAGTCACAAATTTCGCAGTGCAGTTTAGGCTACAGAAAATTGATGGAAATTTTTTTTTAACTTGTGGAAAGTTCAAGTCCAATATGTGTTTATACAATTAAGATTACACAATGTGCAAGATTATGTCGGTGGTTGAAGAGCTTCATGTTAACAAGGAAGTTGCACCATAATGTTCCAACCTGGTTTCAACATGTGAAATTCTTGGAGTGGTTTAGCTTCAAGTGAAGTATATTCTTCATGATAAAGTATATGATTGTCGGTGATGACAATGTGAAATTCTTGAAGTGATTTATCTTCAAGTGAAATATATTTTTCATGAGAGAGTATGATAGTTTTTAAAACTATGATTTTCGGTGAAGACAATGTAAAATTCTTGGAGTGGTTTAGCTTCAAGTGAAATTTATTCTTCATGATAAATATATGATTATCGGTGATGACAATGTGAAATTCTTGAAGTGGTTTATCTTTAAGTGAAATATATTTTTCGTGGGAGAGTATGTTAGTTTTTAACACTATGATTGTCAGTGAAGACAATGTGAAAAATTCTTGAAGTGGTGTACCTTCAAGTGACCATTGTAACACCACACTCTACCCCGCACGCGTATTATAAAACATATACGGAAATATTACATAAAAATACATCAGAGTTCTCGAACAAGTAGGATGTCACACTAAGTCATTTTATTTTTCATAATTAAACCAATGATATCTAGCTTTCAATTAAACAGTGGAATAAAGTCAATTGTTTAATCATAATCTTCACCACAGGGTGATCATACATCATCAATCCAACAAATAACAGATACGTAACAATTAATCAAGAAAATAAGCAAAATATAACGTGATCCCGTCATCCCATGTTACGTATCAGAGCGACTCCTAGGACTCGATCAAATAGCACACGCTCCAAGCACTACTCAGGTACCTGGTCATTTGCACTCCCCAAAGAGCACAAATGCAACAAACAGAAAAGGGCTGAGAACTACATTCAATAAATAAGCGGTGAAATACACATGCTAAGAAGTAGTTACACACCACATATATAATCATATACATACAACGCACATACACGTGCCACCTCAATCACTCGGCTTTAATAGCCCATATTCAAATACAAATATGCAATGTGACTCACTGACTCGACACAATGCATGTGGTACCAACACAATCACATACGGTTCATCCTAGAACCCGATTCCCGTCGAAATCCAGATAAGTTGTATACGTTCCTCTGAACTACAACTTATCTCCAATACGACTTCCACATGAAGTCTGGATGAAACTAGACACCCATCATAGATTCCCACCTAGCCATCTCCACAAGACACATGACATGAGATGTATAACAACACAATTATGCAATATAATAATTCAAGCATAATTCGCAATCATTAATGATCCACAGGAGTCATTTGCTCACCGTAATCCTCTCGGTAATTACCACAATCGCACAAGATTATCCACATTCGATAATCATGGCTCACATTCATCATAAAACACCCATAAGGGCACACACTTAATATTCCACATTCTCTCGATTTAATTCATTACTAATATTCCTTAAGTTCATTTTAGTCATATTAATCCTACCGATTAAATGAAATTGCGTTCTAAGTGAAATCTGAACAGAAATTACAAAAACTGGGGAAAAGTCACCCCAGGCTTCCCATACACGTACCAACAGGGTCCATACGCGTATTTCCTGCTGTCATACGCGTATCAGCCCTACCTTACGCGTACGACCAGAGGCTTCTGCCTCCCACAACCCCATCAGAGTCACCCCTTACGCGTATGACTACCCCCGTACGTGTATTACCAAGCCCCATACGCGTATCACCAGATGGCCGTGCTGGCACTGGGGACAGGGCGCGTATGCTACGCGTACAGCCCTTAGGAAGTCCCCCATACGTGTATTGACACCTATAATACGCGTATGACCAGCAGATCTGTCAAAAAAACTCAGATCTCAACATTCCCACGAGTTTCTACTCAAGATTCATCATTCTACCTTCTCATTCATCCTAAAACTCATATTTTAATCGATTTCAGTGAATCCTATCTTCTACTCTTTCAAGGTTCTATCTATTAGATTTAGTTTCGAATACTGTTAAACTCTTAATTCTCAGATCTAACATCTGTCATAATTTCACCACAGTGTTCATAACTTTTCACACGAATTTTCATATTCGTACCAGAATCATACATACAACATTATACAATTATTCAACAATCACAAGGAAATCATAGTATCACGAAAATCAACTCAAAAGGTAAGAACAAGAAAAATTCATACGAGAGAAAGGACCTTTCACTATCCTTTCATGTTAAGTCACTCATATTGAAATTCATTCTCCCCCCTTACCTTGGATTGAAGCTTTTCCTTGACAACAATGAAAATTTGGCCCTTCTTTGCCCTAACTCTCTTTTCTCTGCCTTTTCCCTCTTTCACGTGTTAACGGACTAATTCTTCCACTAACCCTCTCTTAACTCCTTAATTAGGTTTTAATTCATTTAATTTAATTACTACTAATACCAATAATAATAATAATAATGGTAGTAATAATAATGATAATAATCTCATTAATATTGCTATTAATAATAATTGAAATTATAATGTTAATAATTATAATGCTCTTAATCTTATTATAAATTATCCATTATTCTAGGTCCACATTACCCCCAACTAAGGTCAGCTCTCATTCTCGCCCCTAATCTCATACCCTTAGTTAAGAACATCACACCAATACACATCACAGAAAAATACAAAAGCGACTAAATAATTTAAATGGGGTGTTACAACTATACTCTTTAAGTGGTTTAGCTTCAAGTGAAATTTATTCTTCATGATAAAGTATATGATTGTCAGTGATGACAATGTGAAATTCTTGAAGTAGTTTATCTTCAAGTGAAATATATTGTTCATGAGAGAGTATGATAGTTTTTAAAACTATGATTGTCGGTGAAGACAATGCAAAATTCTTGGAGTGGTGTAACTTCAAGTGATTATACTTTTTATGGTGGAGTATGATTGTCGACGAAGACAATGAAAGTTTCTGTATTATTTTTAATCAGTGTGGAGATTGTTAGGGTTGGTTGAAAATATACATGTTGATACTCTTTATGATGGAGTATGATTGTCAGCGAAGACAATTAAAGCTTATATATTATTTTCAATCAAGGTGGAGGTTGTTAAGGTTGGTTGAAAATATACATGTTGGAGAAGTCTCACATCGCTTAGTTTTGTGAATGAAGATAGAGTCCAATGCTATATATAGGATACAAGTTTTTGAAGTCTCACATTGCTTAGTTTTATGAAGGAAGATGGAGTCCAATGCTATGCATAGGATTCAAGTTCTTCGTTACAAGATGCATCAGTCAAAAGCACTTTAAGCTTGTATTTGACTTTATATGTTCTCTTATACTCTTGTTTTAGAGTGTTGTGAGATGTAGTTAAATATTAACTTTTAAGGGTGTGAATGTACTGGAGTCTGGGTTTATGAGGGTATATTATGTGTTGTAACAATTTTCACATAGTGTTATTCCAAGTAAATCAACCATCTTCCGTTACTGCTAACAATATTCAACTTGTCTCACTTGTAGCCAACAATAATCAACCCGTCTCACATGTAGCAAATCGTAATAACTCTGCATCACCAATAACCACCGATAGTCTTTATCTAAATAACATTAATCAACAATAGTGAACCTAACCCACCTCTGAGAAAATTCACAAGAAAAAAAAAACACTTTTGCATATTTGGATGATTTTATTTGCAATGTTTTTCATTTTGTGACTCGTTATGACATTTCTAAATATATCTCTTATCATAATACTTCCCCTTGATTTCATTCATTTATATTTGCCATTACTGAATCCTCTGATCCAACCACATACAATCAAGCTATCAACCATCCCCATTTGATCAAATCCATGAACATTAAAATCTAAGTTCTTATTGACAACAAGACTTATATCTTCACCACCCTCCCACCATGTAAGAGGGAATTTGACTATAATTGGGTATATAAAACCAAGTTTAATGATGATAACACCATTGAGAGACATAAAACGATAAAAGGGTCCGATAGAAACTCCTAGCTTAATATACTTATGAATTAAGGAAATGTTGTTTACGGTTGACACTATTTTCCCCTGGCTGACTGGGAGAGTATGATGGCGCTAGTATTTTCTTCTCGCGGAACATAAGCAATTTCGAATGCCTTGAATCTTTCCGACCTCTTAGTGGCTAGTTTGAGATACTGTTGCAATAATGAGTCTTTAGCTTGAATCTCCTTTCTTATTTGAGAGAGACCAACTAGGAATCTGTTTGCAACTTGATGTGTTCACCCCGTTTATCTGGATAATGTCATCTCTATAATTATTGCTTCATACACAACTTGATTGCTGGTGGTCAAGAACTGTAAACTCAAGGAAACTTCCATCACGAGCCCATGATTGTTCTATAGAGTTACGCCACACTTCTTATCGGCTCTTAGACGATTAGTTCGCAAATATTACCCATGTGTGGTATGACTCTACATGTACGGGGTCATTTTGGCCAAGAAGTCGAAAAACAACAGATGCTTTGTTAAGAGTCCCACATCGGACAATATATGACATGAACATGTGTTTATAAGTGGGGGCAATCCTCACTCTACCAGCCGGTTTTGTAGGGTTGAGTTAAGCCCAACCACAATTTCTTAACATGGTATCAGAGCCTGGTTTAAGATCCGGTGGGCCACCTTCTATGGTTTCCGCTATCGGGCCACCCACCATTTATTTCCACGCTTCAGTTGTTATAAGTGGGGGCAATCCTCACTCTAACATGCTTCATATCTTTCCTTGCTTCGAAAGATACTTCGAACTCCGAGTACTCTATGGCACACTTCGTCGGAATCGTCCAAGTCTGGTCAATAAAGCACTTGCTTCAGGGTAAATATGTTCGAACGATTATGGAATATGCAATGAAGTATCTTTTGAGCTTATGTGATGTTGTCACTAATGCTAATGTTGCTTTCTCAATATGAAGTACACTAGGCTCTGGCTAAAATTATACTCTTTACGACACTCACTGCTTCCTCCGTAGCAAAGATGTGTGCTAACCGCAATGTCACAATTTTGTCAAGTCATAAGAAGATCGACCTGGTAGGGAGATACGTGATCACCAAAATTCTACCTTAACTATGTCTATCTAAAGCTATCAAAAAAAAGTTTGGGAGATTGCAGTTTAAAATTAGGGATTAATAAATAATAATAATAAAAAAAGGACATGAGATTGTGATTGCTATCTTAGATTCACCATAATGAATTTCCAATAGTACGAGAATATTTTCTTTCAGTTTTTTATAGAAAAGTAGATTAAAAATGTGTGTCACCCACTTTTGTGGTATGCGTAAACTAAACACTAATTTAGGCACACATAATGACTTTCTCAATAGAAAGTGAGTCGCGCTGTCACGATGGGCGCCTCACTAATCTATTGTCTGATAATTCTCTTTCGGATGTCGAATTATTATCTTTTGATACATGATCAACATCTATGTTGCCTTTTCTTTCACAATCGACATATACATGTGAAATGTATTTTGGATTCTAAAATTAAAATAACTAATATATTTTTTCTCATAAATCAAACGGGGAATTCATTGGGGTTCTATGAAGAGCATAACTCTCACAATCTCTAGTCATTCAAGAACTACTCACACATGGTGAGATTAACCATGATGATGGAAATTATAAACATTGCAAGAAATAAAATAACAAGTAAATAAAAGCAATGACAAAGATAAATAAAGAACAAGATAAAAATGCAGAAATTAAAAAGAACAAAATAAGAGCTTTACTAGAAACTTGAAGAAATGACAAAAGTTTGGAATGTTGTAGTAAAAAGTGGTGTAAAGTGATGAAGCTCAAGCCCATTTTATACTAATCCTAGACCTAAATGATCAATTAGTAACACTAAATTTGAGCAAATCAATCATTATTTGCTTAGCTATGAAGTTTTAGAGGTTGTAAATGCTGAAAAGTCACAAAAGAAGCAAAAAGATCAAAAGTTCATAATTGCCTGAGTGCTAAGACAAGTTGTGTTAGGCAATACTGAATGATCGTGTTAGCCTCTGGCTGCTTTTATGGAGGGGGTACTAGGCGACAACATTACCCGTGTCATGGGACATGACTAGGCCGTGTTGCTCTCATGAAATTTGTATTGGAAGCGCTCATTTAGTGCGATCTTTGGCCTTTTTCGTCCCAATTCACTCAATTGATCTCTTATTACCCGAAAAACAAACATAGGAGACAAAAATGCGTTAAAACGAACTAGAACGATTAAAACACACACGAAATCAAAAGAGAAAACACAAAAGAAACATGATACATTTACCACTTATCAAACAACCGAGTGCATGCACAATGTTTCACCAACAAGTGGTTGAGTAAATATCAGAGGTGTAGCCAAGATTTTCTTCAAAGACTAAAACGGCTATTCGCAGCCAGGTGTCCATTTGAATTTCACATTTTTTCTCAACAGTCTATAAAAATGCAAATTGTGTTGGTCAGATTTTGAAATGAACCTGCTCAAAGCAGTTAACATATCGTTCAACTTTTGGGCCTCATTCTTCAACTCCAGCGCACTCATTTGGATGACTACGTCACACTTGTCAAGGTTTCCTTAAATTGCCCGCTTAGGTAGGTAAAAGCCTAAGAACTTGTTGGCTCTTACCCCGAAAGTGCACTACTTTGGATTGAGTCTCATGTTATATTGCCAGACTCTTTTGAATACCGTTGGAGGTGTTGAGCATGAAACTCCCCTTGAATAGATTTTACAATCACGTTAACCATGTACAATTCCAATGTATCCACTATCTCTTCTTAAAAGATCTTGTTCATCATCCTCTGATATGTCACACCAACATTTTCGAAAGGCATGATGTTGTATTGGTAATTAGCATGCTCAATCATGAATGATGACTTTATTCGGTTGGCCCCAAACATAAGTATCTAATTATCTACAAACATGCCAATGTTCAGAAGCGGGTCATAATCTTTCGGGCATGCTCTATTAAGATTTGTGTAATCAACACACATCCTTTAATTTTCCAAGGATTTCTTCACCATAACGACGTTGAACAACCGTTATGTATACATCGCCTCCAAAATGAACTTGGCGTTCAATAGGCCTTTCACCGTGCTCGCGATAACTTATATTTTCTCCAGGGACTGCCTCATTCGCTGTTGGGAGACGCAACGGTCGCTGAAGTCCATGTTCAACTGGTGGTATACCACGTTGGGGTCGATGTCAGACATCTCATGTGGGGAGATAGTGAAAAGGTCTGCGTTGGCCTGGAGACATTTGAGTATGGTGAATCTTACCCTAAAGGGAAACCCAAATCCCATATTTACCGACCCGACAAGGTTATCACTGAGCTGGACAAATTCAAACTCATCGTCTGGAACGAGCCTAACTTCGTCCTCGCGTGCATCCAAGTTAAACACATCGGTATCCCTTGGACCTTCTTCTCTTCTGCTCTTGCCACATACGCGAGAATGTCCTCAAGGATGAGCTATTTGGTATGCTTTGCTTCCCATATATGGTGCTATTGTTCCGTTTGAGAAACAAAATTAAATGTAAGCTAAAGATGAAGGATCTTAAATCGGTGGTGCCGATTTTTGATACAAGTACACGAAAGTGAATATGTAAGATTAACACTTAAATATCTAAATTATTTCAAAATTTAAGATGAATGTAGTGAAAAAAAAATGTGCTTTATATTTCACATAAGATAACTTTTAGACCTTAACATTTTGTTTTTGGCATAAATCGTGTCTAGAAAGACTATAATTAATGACAACAAAAAATTTTCAAAAAATAAATTGTATATTTACCTCATCAACTATTTTAGCCTAAATAAATATATAGTAGGACTCATATAATTCATGCCTTTTTATTTCTTCCATACACATATTGCACAAAAATGCTGATTTAAGTTGTTTAGTTTCATGAAATTAGAGAAAAGTTAAACAAGCCAATCCTATTCCTATCCGCGCTGTTGAAGCGAAGATGATGACTATCGGTATCATGGCTCTCCCACTCGTCATCTCCGTTTTCAAACCCCTCACCACCACCACCCGCCTCCACTCCACACTCTTACGCCGCCGCCGTTTCACTACTTCTACTCTTACTGCCTCCGCCACAACCACTCCCCAACATTCAACTTCTCTCTCCTCTCAACACTCTTCATCATCTTCCACTTCTACGCTCCCCAATCACAACCTCTCTTCCCTCACTTTCCAGCAAGCCATTCAGCGCCTTCAGGTATCACTATTCAACAATTCCACTTCACCTCTTTTTTAATTTTTATTTTAATTCATAATTTGCACCAAATTTAGTGTTTACGAAATGGTCAATTTTTTGCAGTTTAAAAAGCCTAATCTTTTATCGTCGTTGTTGCAGGAATATTGGGCTTCTGTTGGATGTTCCATAATGCAATGCAGCAACACTGAGGTAACTAACTGACTAACTTCCTGCATCACCATTCATCTATGATCTATTCAGCATTTTGAGCTTTATACCCTTGAATTATGTTTTCTTTTCATTGTTTTTGATACTTGTATCTGCAATAGAGTAGTTAAATTAAACTTACAAGTCATAACTGATACAGGTTG